TATATATATATATATATATATATATATATATATATATATATACACATCAAATTCACAAACAAGAAAACTTTTGAGTGTTGTTTTTGTACTAATTTCTCCATTTCCCTCACGTGCAGGGTCAGGTCAGGATACAACACTATTCATAGAGGGATGGATTTCCTGAAAGGCAGAGCTTTCTGTCCAAGGATGGGAACACCGTAAGGTCTCTAGAGAATTCAGCCTATACTGGAGAAAGGCTAAAGTGAAGGGCGTCTGATGTAAAGCTGATGGTGAAAGTACTAGACAAGGCAGAAACATGTGAAATATTTCATGCAGCCAACCTTATTTATTGAGAAGTCCTAATTTTATTGCCCGTTTAGTAACATCTTTGTTCAACAAACTAATTTTTCATAAAGCAAAACACAACTTTTTCTTATAAATAGTATAAATTATTTTATTTACAGAAACTTGTTACAAAACAAATAGACTATATATTTCTTCTCTTTTAAATATCCAAAGTAATTTTCTATCCCTTGACATTTGTTCATTTCTATACAGCAGCCAACACAAAGTCCAGCTGAGATGCTCTTGATTATGTGTACACATTTATCAAACTATTCACACATTTAACACAGGAGATTGCTTTAATAACCAAGCTCAAAAAAAAAAGCAAAATTCTTTCAAGGCCCTGCATTCACACTGACAGTATGTAGTGCTCACGTAAGTGATCTGAAAAGGTAAAATGTTTTACGTAAGATGGAAAAATGATTATTATTATTTTTTAACAGTGAAACTTTTAACAATCATTTTTCAAAGCCCAACTTTTCCCCAACCCAGGACAGAATGGAGACATTAAGAAATCCCTTGGCAACAGAACTCTTACAGGAAGACAGCTGCCTTTATAAGTTATATATTTTTTCAAATTAAACATTTTTCAATGTTCTCAGAGGTACTTCTTGTATTTTTTAATACAAAATATTTTAAATATCCTACCTTACAGTCTGTATTTAATGAGGGATAACAAACAGCTGCTGGCTGACAACAGTTTATGACCCTTGGTGGCCCTGGGCAGTCCATTGCCAGTTAAATTACTGTGAACAAAAAGGTCTTCATTTTAAAATACCTTAGAAAAACTACCAGGCTTGGTGGCTTTTAACTTCTCCCCTAAAACTTTAGAAATGATATTTAGGTGGAAAAAGCAAACTCCAGAAGTTCAACTCAGCATTCAAGTCTTTAAAGAGTATCTGTCTGAGCTTAAACTAGGTTCAGGCACTTTCAGCTTTGTTTTGCCCATTAGTTTTAAACCACATCACATACTAATAACACAGGTGTGCTCAGAGTGTTATTACACACACACACACACACACACACACACACACACACACACACACACA